GTACGTACGTCGTCGTCTCTCTCTCTCTCTCTCTCTCTCTCTCTCTCTCTCTCTCTCTCTCTCTCTCTCTGTCGTGCAATATTCCCGATTGCTGTGCATTTTGGATGCGCGCAGATTTGCGCGGCAGCCAACAAATCTCGGTGGTTTTTCGTCGGACGGTTTTTCTCTGACGTAACCGAAAATAGTTTTTCACGCGTTAATCGAGAGTGCCGTGTTATCACGGAGATTATGAATATGCATAGGCGTCCCCGTGAAAATGACGCTAAAACTCCGGTGCACGATAATTAGAGAGCTTTCGAGTAAACGTGGGGTAGGTACATATCGCGATTTCACGGTCCGAGTACGCGAAAATACCATGCGCGGTTACGTTTATCGCGGCAGTCGCGTTTCGTTAGCGAGGGCGTATTTTCGTTCTGAAAACGTTACCCTCAAAGAATGCAAGCTCCGTTTAATCTCATCCGAGATATTACCGTGAATGTCCCTTGTTCCGGGTGGAAGACGACCACGTTTCCGTGTTGAAACATTCCACGGATAGTAACGCCTACTTGTGCACGAAGATCGAGTTTCATGGTTTGCGAGTGCATTGCGCAACCGTTCTTGCAGTTCGTTCCTTGGCGACGTTCTGCCCATCTACTCGGTTTTCATTTGACGTTTATATTAGATTTACTTAAATACTCAGGGGATCAATACTAATTGGGACAAACTTTCTTAAAATACTTATCGAAAGGCAAGAGTCGATAATTAAGTTTTATAAGCTTTAAATGATGTCACACATCATTGGAAGTTATCGTATTTCTTATTCATCGACGAGTCAACTTGCTGCAAGTCGACAACTTAGTTCAAGTTTTTTATACTCGCGGCTATAGCAGTTACTATATATATGTACGATCAATGTAACCCGTTTTACTGTCATCATACCGCGGTTATTTTTATTTGTACGTAAGTCACGTGTTTACTAATATTTCATTCCATTAAATATAATTTTATACATATATCTATATTAGAATAGTGAATAAATGAAAAAAAGTTTCATACCTGTCTGTCGTATATTAAGATCCTGTTACTGGCTTTCGATGAAAATGGTACTAGCAAACGAAATCAAATATTCTATTAGAATATTGGACATCCATCCGATATGACTGTTCTCTCGCTTTCTATATTTATTACCGTAGAAAGTTATTGTATTATTCAAATATTGATTTTACTTTTTGATGAAGTGTGTGCATTTTTATATTTGAAGAATTCTTTTTTCTTGTGACTAAAAGGAGATTAATAACGTTATTTTAATTTTATACGTTTAGTTCATTATACTTTAAACAATTTCTAGACTAACATGGTGTTTGAAAGATGGCATTATATTATTATGCCGGCGATATTAAATCAAAAGATAAATGCATATTTTGTTTCACAAAAGCAAATCTTAAAGATAGTTGAAGAATATAAAGCGAGGTACATATATATCTTGTTGAGAGGATAAGCTCAAATTTAACGATACTTATTCTCGTAAATAGAAGGTTATTTCGAGCGTACATTCGATTCTATCGAATAACATGATTTTCTAACAATACAAATTCTCGTCTAGCGGAGATTCCGAAGTTTTATTTCAATTCATTTGTCTCACTGTTGCTTGGTAATCATTCGTTTCATGAAGTCAAAACTGTATAAATCACCATGCACGAGGGATTTATTATAAAATAAATTCTTTTTAAATTTATTCAGAGCAATTCAAGTTAATATTTTAAAAATAAATTATGCTTCTTCTTAAAATATATTGCCAATCGCAATATTCTCAAATTTAAGCAAAATCTCTTTATGCGAAAGTGTAATCAATTATTGTGTAGCGAGTACTGCGTATTTCTTATCCAGAATCGGGGTACTCCGCGCATTTTCATGAATGTGCACATGTGCGTATTTTCGTTCCTCTCTGTCGTCCTCTTTTTTACTCTTCGGAGGATACAGAGGAAAGCGAAGCGAAATTGAAAGGCCAATGAGAAACGTCCGGCGTGTTCACGCCCCTACCGACTTCGGGGTATACGTGCATTGCCACGGGCGATTCTCCGAGGTCGAGCATTATAAATGTACACCGGGTGAGCCAAGTCGAAGCACCAAAATCGATTTACCCGACCGCGTTTCGCGCGAGGGTCAAGTGCATCATACGAAGCGCAATCGTGTGCGCTCGTCTGTACGCTCGTTCACGCGTCTACGCACAGGTCTGTCTATCAAATATGGGCAGTAACGCGTCAAAGCTGCCGAGCGACGGAATTTTACAAGCATTAAAACCGACTCGGCGTCGAGAAGCGAAGATCGATCTATTCTCGAGTTTCGCCAGGTGGTTGACTAATGCGGCGGAAGAGGGAGGTCGAGAGAGTGAGTTCAGTTAACGGGCAAAAACCAATTCGTCGTCGCGATCGAATGTCGAGCGTTAGATCTCGTCGCTAGATCTCGTCGTATATATATTTATTTTGCATTGTCGGTTTGTCACGATTTGCTTATTATTGCTATATAAAATACGATGTTTTCGACAACCTGAGCAGATAAGTGCGTTTTTGTCAATTTGAGGGGAAAGCATCGAGTAGCGTTGATGCTAAAGCCAATAATGTTATATTTTATTTGCTGTTTGTAACATTTCGTTTTCTCCGAACATGACTAGATATTATAAACTACTTGAAATGTCGTTTATAATAAGAATATTATGCTAGACTTTTCGATTACGGATTTTTCAATAAACATCAACTCGCTAATGCTTTTTCATACATAGTGTGACTTTTATTGCGTTTATGTCGCATTTTCGCAAATGCCAGCTTGATAAGAATATGCGTACATATCGGAGAGATCGACAGCGATGGAATCGCAGAATCGAGAGTGAATTGTCGAGGCGGGTTTCCACACGACAAATTCAGATCCCGCGGTAATCGATCTCAAGAAGGTATACCTCGGCAAACGCGAGCACTTAAGAACTCGATGGCGTAAAGAGAGGAATACAGGGTAGATAGAGAGGGAGAAAGGAGGGAATGAGAGAGAGAGAGAGAGAGAGAGAGGGAAGGAGGGGGGATACTGTGCGCGCGCGCGAACGCGCCTTGTCCGTGTTGGTGCACCGAGCAGAAGATTTGCACGGTTCAACAAACGCCTCTCGCTTATGTATATGTGCAAAACTATGTACGAATCTCCTGGGGTAAATCGCACGTGTACATAGGACGCGCGTACTGCGCGTATGTGTATGCGTGTTTGTGAGCATGTGGTGCATGCATATACACATGGACACTGTACATACGGGATATGTCCCTGACCAATCGCGGCTCCTTTTAACGATGAACTGCACGAGTGGGTGAAAAGAAATGCGTTTGATGAAATTGTGCGAGTTGAAAATTAATTAGAATTAATCACAATAGGCACCGTCGACTCCCGATGGTCGCATATTGTTTGTTTTGAACATAGTTGCGAAGGCAATATTGGTATTTGGATTATCGAAATGATGTATAATTAATTACGATTTTTTTTTTCTATTAAAAAAATTGATATATTTATCTTTTTGAGACACTCTCGTCTTTAATTCAATTGATCGGGAACACACTGTACATATCGAGCATCGAGGGTTGAAATGGGACGCAGGGGGTTTGAGATGTTGACTTTAAAAAGACATGTCTAGTGTATTATTGTCTTTATCGTTCCTGACATAATCCCAAATGTGTGATAAATGAAAAGTTATAGGCAAGCACGAAAAGAAGTTTCCGGAATAAAAAACTAGCTGAAAACAATGTATTTTTAGAATATATTTTATTTAAGTTAAGGTGTCTTAATTTCATCGTGACATCTTTTAATGAAATTTGATTTGAATCAATATTAGCATTTTGTAAGATTTACTAGAATAGTTAAAGAGTTATATTCGTTATCTAATT